ATCAATTTGTAACTTTTTAATTGACAGTGAAGGCAGGAAACCTGATCAACTAGTGTAAATGTGTACAAATGGATTTGTTGAGCACGAATTTCTTAATTCATATTTTATAAAGGCTACCATGTTTCCCTGAAAATAAGACCCTGTCTTATATTTTTTTTGAATCCTGAAATAAGCTCTTGGTCTTATTTTCGGGGAGGTCTTATTATTTGGGGGCATGTGGAGCAAGACGGGGTTCCTCTTGCCATCTTACCTGATTTCCAGCTCTGTCTCTCTAATCCTAACCAGAGGAAATGACGGGGACCAGCTGCACATGTGATTAAATTTTTTTTTACAAATAGTTGCTTTCTTACATGGTGGCTGTTAGCAAGTATGTGGGAAAAAACAAATTGATTTTTTTCCCTATCATAAAGCCTGCCATAAGGCCTGCATGAAAAATGCCTGAGAGTTTAAACTAACAAAGAAAACAAATCGCACCTCAAACCTTTGCCTCCAATTTTTCCAGGAGCTATGTACTAAGGGGAAAAAAATCATTCTAGCAATTTAACAATATATACCGTGTTTCCCCGAAAATAAGGCCCTGTCTTATATTTTTTTGAACCCTGAAATAAAGTTTAAAGTTTATTGTCATTTTACATATATACACAGTATACCCATAAAACGAAATTCCCTTGGCCTTATTGCCATGCACATCCCCTTATTATCAGGGGATGCCTTATTTTGGGGGAAACAGGGTAGTTACAGAAGTGTAATTAGTTTACCTTTTAGTAAAAATATAAAGAAGAAATATTAGCTGAAAACCAAATGACCATAAATATACTTATTTTAGCTGGTGACATTACAGACGTAATACATGCAGATACACCAAGGTTAAGCATAGCACTCTCAACTCCATTAATCTGAAGTCAGGTTTTGTAGGTTGTAAACATGATGTGTTTTGGTGTATGATTTCTGTCATGTTATATTGTGTTATAGTGAAGCTTTAACCTCGCCCTCCCCCAACGCCATCAATATAGTCATTTGTCCCTTGCATATATTGTCCCTTGCAATATAGTCACTTGTCCTACATAAATAATGAATTATCGCTCCCAACCAAATTGCAATGTATCAAAACTAATTCGGGCAATCCTGTGCATGCCCAACATATATCACCTAACTATTGAGATGGGAAAGTTGTTGATCTGTCAAAAGTGAAAGATTAAAAGATATTCAGGCAAGATATTGTGCATGTCTTGTGCTTCATTTTCCTTCCCAGCTATTGGCAAAGAGAATGTGAAAAGGTAAGGTGATCACAGGCTGAGAATTAATAATAATAAAAAAGCTCTAGAAAAAGGAGCAAGTAGACAGGATATTATAGGTACTTTAGGAGATTAGTTGAAATCTGTTCTCAAAAGTTCTGGAGAAATGATGGAAGCCTAGAAATACAGAGGCTCCAATATTGAACAATCACAACCTAGGGGTAGGTCATGTGGTATCTGTGGATATTTCTCTAAGTGTCCATCTAGCTTAATTTTTCATTAAAAAGAGCTTATCAATGTAAACAAGTTACAAAATGGGAATCTGGCATATTTTAAACCAAATGTATAAAGTAGGTAGCTAGGAAATTACCATCTGTGGCATAGTTTTTATTTCCAATGAAACCTTGAGCCTTACATCCTTCCCATATTGTTAAATAACACCACAAATAGAGGCTGTAGTTCAGTGTTTGTTTTTAGAAAGTGCCCACCTACCCGGAAAAGACACTATAGGAAACTGCATTGAAAGGGAATAACCTGATAGGGTAGAGCTGGTGCCAGGGTCATGGTTTGCCACCGAGCTGTTTTGTTCAACAGGCAAACCTTTCCATGAGATACATTTATGGAGAGTTATCTATAAGATATCCTTTGAAGGTCTCTATTGGGCCCAAATGGCCCTTTGCTCTTCATTTATTGATATTTAGTAGAACTGAATTTCCGTGAGAAAGTAAGTAATAAGATCAAATCAACAAATACAAATTTTGTCTTTTTAGGCAAATTCACAAGTAAATGGTCAATGGATGGCTTTCTAGCTGTTGTACATCAATACTGGTAGTCTTTGACTCAAGATCCATAATAGAACCTGTCCACCACTACAGTTGTAGGTTGTAGTTGTAAAGCAGGGGTATCAAACTCAAGGCCCGCGGGTCAGATCCAGCCTGTGGGGCCAATCTGGAAATAGCAAAGAACTGGACTGTGGAGCCTCTGCTAGCAAAAATGGGCCATGGGGGACCCCGTGCTGTGTTTTGGCCAGCAGGGTGCTGCAGGAGGCAGCCCAGACTGAAAACAGGGCCTGGGGGGCTGTGTGCAGTCACCTTATGGGCCATTTTGGCCAGCAGGGTGCTGCAGGAGGCGGCCGTCCCATCTCCGTTGCCCCTGGCTGGCCTGCCGAGGACAACTACAATGCTGATCCAGCCCTTGAAGAAATCCGGTTTGACACCCCTGTTGTAAAGTGAACAACACAGTTGTAAAGCAAACCCATTGTACACTATGGGTTGGCTTTGCCAAAAATCAGAAGTTAATGCCGTAAATGCAGGCTAGTTGTGGAGTGACCAATATGCAGTCATGTGATCATGGGTATGTGTGTGGCTGTCAAAACTTCAGAACTGTGTCATAAGTATCTTTTGGGAAGGGGTCTATTGTAACTTTGAATGGTTGCTAAGCAATCTGTCATAAGTTGAGGACTACCTTCATGGGCAATATACAAATTATGTACACATGTACAAAAATATAAAAAAAAAATAAATGAAAATGGAATAATCCTAAATCTTAGCCACTGCAGAATAGTGTTTCACAAACTCAAGCATGACAAGAAAGAACTTACTGCAGGTGTAATTCATCAACATGGGCCTTATGTACAAGAACTAAATGATCAAGAATTTCAGTAACAAAACTCAAGTTGTACTCATGCATATGAATTTAGAATACATATAATACATGGAGATTTAGATATGTAACAAATTATGTCAGATGAAATCTGGCTGAAAATATGTAGCAAGATTTACGATAATCATGCTTAACTATACTTTTGAATACTCTGCCATCAGATAAAAATAATTACTCAATCTGAATTATGACAGAACACTATACCACATCATAATGAAATTATAATATACTAAAAGGACAGAATACATCTAAACAAATTTTACTTTATTTCCTGACACCTACCATATTTTTCAGAGTATAAGACACACCTTTTTCCCACAAAAAAAAGAGGGTGAAAATCTGGGTGCATCTTATACTCCAAATGTAGCCCCATCCAGCCTCTCAAACTGAGGTTTCAGAGGCTGAAAAAAGCCTCCGAAATGAAGCTTCAGAAAAAAAGCCTCCAAAACAGAGCTTCAGAAAAAAAAGCCTCTGAAACAAAGTTTCAGAGGCTTTTTTTCTGAAACTCTGATTTGGAGGCTTTCAGAGGCAGAAAAAAAAGTTTTTTCTAGACGGAGTTTCAGAAATTTCAGACGCTGAAAAAAAAGCAAGGCACAGAGCTCACAACCAATGAACCTGTTGCTAAAATTCACCTCTGAGAACAGCTGATTGGGGGTATTCCGGGAGGCCAATCCCAGATAATCAGCTTTTTTCTTATTTTCCTCCCCAAAAACTAAGGTTTATATATAACTTATACTCTGGTGCATCTTATACTCCGAAAAATACGGTAAGTCTCTCTAGCTAAAATTGGACATCCTACTGATTTCAGTGGAAGAACTAAGGAACTTTAGTGAAGGAACTAAAGAACCAATAAAAACTGTAATGCCCCCTCACCGAAATCAACAGTAATTCAAGTTATTAGTATGTGGTCTCACATCAGTTTAGATCATAGAAGTAAAATTGAATTTATACAGACTTAGTGCAGAGTATGTATGAGAGGACTGAAGCTCATCAGTATTTTATTGCTAAATTGGATTACTATGGATACAAGTCTAAACGTTAATCTGTTACTACCTTCAAAGCCAAGCTATTTACCTAAACATTTAAATTATCTTTAATTTTGAAAAATTTCAAGTCAGAGACATTATGGATATCAAGAAATGTGATTTTGTTTTCCTGTTGTTTATTGTAGACAATACAAGACAGGTAAAATAAAACAGAATATTCTGTGAGCTTCTATCTCAACTAAATAACTTTATTTCCATGATATAAAATATGCTGCTAGAAAGAACTGTTTTTGAAAAATACATGAGGATTGGCTCTTGTATTTAGAACGGAGAAATCTAAAGACCTTCTGGGTGATGCAGCTCTCCCTCCAAGTCACTCCAAGCTGGAGCAAATCATGACTTCTCTCCAAATTGCCCTGGTTGTGCGAATGAAGAGTCATTGTTGAACTTTCTTCATTGTAGTGCAATATAATGTATGCAGTTCATAGTAGAGAAGAGCTTGAGGTACCCTCTCAAACTTTAGAGAGAAGCCACAATGGTGCAGCAGAAGGAATGAGATGAGCATCCATGGAAATAAGACTTAGAGAAGCTGATATGGAAAGGATAGAATCTTACCAGACCGTTATTGTTCTTGCAGGGATGCGATTGCAAGAACCATCATTACATGCACAGAGCCTGTTTTAAAACATATGAGTCTGGAGGTTTTACAGTACCAAAGAGCAAGATTATTGTGTGAATAAACAGTTCACAACAATATAGGTACAGTGCATCTGGTCACGACATTGAAGTACTTGCTGCCACAATTACATTCCAGTAAACTGTGGATTTCAAGCCTTCAAATGCAAAGTTCTTTATAATTACGGATCTCTCTCCTCTTTATATTGAATTTGTCCCATGCTTAATAAGTAGGCCATGAGCAAAGTAAAAATTGAGTTCTATCCTTGATCCACCCACTATGTACATCCAACCATTCAAAAAGCATCAACCCCATGCATTTCTTGCAATTGGATACAAGAATCGTTAAATATGTTCAAATGTGGTTTTATGCTTGTTAATAAATAGTACATTTTGTTAATGGGAGACAAATGTTTTTTCTAAATAATATATTACGGGCTCCTTATTTCAGAAATGAATATTTAATAGTAGTTGTTATTTTTTTACCAAATAAAGAGGTAGGTGTATTTTCACACAATGAACAACAATGTAACAGACATAAGGGGAAAATTAGAACAACCTAATACAGCAATACTGTATAATTTAGATGAAGAAACTACAAATTATTAAAAAAGAGAGCAAACTTCCCTCTCCATATTTTCATTGAGGGCTTTTTTTTTTCTTTTTTCTTTTGCTTAAAACATTGATTAGAAATGGTAGAATTCGTAAGCTCTCTTTTTCGAAAAGATGTCTGTTTCAATAAATCAATTGTATCCATGGTTAATTGCAATTTTAACCACTGGATTGACAGTAAAGAATATTTCAGCAATTCTTTCTTACAGTACCAACACCCGCAGTCTAAAAGTTTACATAAAGTTAACGAATCTCAATAATTACATAATTACAATAGGATTTTTGTTGTTAAAACAATCTTCATAAATAATGTTTTCTATCTCTTCAACAACCTAAAGGTCAATTGGTAAAGACAGGACAGTATTTCCTTTTCTTTTATTATCAGATTGAAGAATCCTCACTGCTCGCAATGTTTAAGGCTTGAATCAAGTTACTCTCCTTTAGTTTTCTTCTGCACTTTTCCATTTTCCATAATTGCACCGTTTTCTGGCTTGCTTGTACCATTTGCTATTACGCCGTTGGTGATCTTGCCATTCTTTTCTTTTTGCTTGAGCTCCTTGGTCTGCTTAGGCATCTTGTATGTCCGATAGTAGAAGTTACCAAACAGAACAATAAAAGTGCTGGCATAGAAAATGACACCCCAGTGCATCCATTTAGGAAAGGGACAATCAATATAAATAGACAGGGCGGTGTGGCCAATAGTCACGTGGAACTGAAGCTGAAAGGTAGAATAACAGAAGGTCCATTAATCCTGATTATTAAATTTCTGTTAAGAGTTTATGTGAGCTTTCCCCCCCTTGAAAATGTGTCTGAATATCATTCATACATTTCTTTATTTACTTAAAACCATGATGGGCTCTCTAATTATCTGCGAACTAAAGGAAGGAGGATCATTTTACATTATGTTGCTGAGAATGCAATGAAGGAAGATGCTGTTGAAACAGGGAAATGATTGCCACCACAATCATATGTTCACAGGGGATGAACATGTGATTCCTGCCTTCCTCTTGAAGTTCCCCAGGAGAAGGAAACATCTGCAAGGTCTCCTCTATCTTCAGAGGCTCGCCATCAGACTATCTCTGAAAAATCAGACTGATAGAGGTCACCACTCTAGATAGAGCAGGTCTTCTTTGCAGACATGAATCCCCTGAATATGAATTAGAAGTGAGAGGAGGAAGAGGCTAGCAAGCTGACTGATCATGACTTGGAACCCTAAGCTTGCTTTTGTATTGCTGCCAGGAGTGTGGAGTGGAGTATTGTTTTTTTTTTATTGTTGTTTTTGTATTGGACTTTTATCCTTGTAAGCTGCCCAGAGTCACTGAGAGCAAGCTGAGTGGTCATATAAATTTTCTTAAGTAAGTAAGTAAATAAATAAATAGTTTATTTTCAAGGTCTTGCCCGCTTTTAGAGTGCTGTCCGGGGCCAATAAGTATATAGATACACAGATTTGCACATGCATTCATATTTATTGGAGAAAAAAGTCACTAGGATTAATTTTTTTACTGAGAATTGAGAGCGTACTAGAGTTGTGTGTGTTATACCAACTGTACTTATATTTAGCAGATTTAAATGATTATTATGTATAAGCTTTCTCCCATTATTCTTAAGAAATATACTCTGCATACGGCCACTCCTTGCTTAGTGACTATCTTGGTTAGCAATCATTCACAAATACAATGGTAAAAAAATGATCAGTTTCAGTCAGTAGCACAGTTGGCTGGAGGGTTCTACACAACTAATTAAAGTCACAGACCTGAGCTTATTAACTTGTGATTAGCATTTTTTTAGGGAGGTTCTGCCCCGTGAAGAAAAGCAGCTCAGGAAGAGATAGCTTATTTAAGCAATATCACCACCCTGAAAGATGGTGGTGGTGGGGAGGAAACTATGGGTCAGTCACAGGACTTGTAGGGCAGAATTTTATTTGAATGAAACAGCATCAACTACTGATCTTTTCCTATCAATACATGCTCACTTAGTGATTATTTTGATTAATGACATGATTATTGGAATGGAGGGCAGTCACTAAATGAGGAGTGATTGTATGGGAAAAGGGAGAACAGCTATAAGAACTCTAGGTGAGTATCTTATGCTGATGGCAATAGCATGTGCTAGGGGGTTTCTTCCTTTATCTATGTGAGTTTCCTCATGTTGGAAAAGACCCTCTCTAAAAGTGGTGTTTATGTACTTATTACTTTCAAAGTTCTGACACTGAAAAGACCCAATTTAAAAAAGAACTGATAGATTTTTTTAAAAAAAACAAACATTACTTACTAATTGCATTATGGTCAAGTATCGTTTCCACCAAAGGTACTTTTGGAACTTTGGGCCACAGGCAGCTAGTCCATAGTACATGTACATGACAACATGAATGAAAGCATTTATATGAGCTCCAAAAAATGCTGTTGGGTAGAAGAAACAAAAGAAGCACATTACGTAAATCATTAAGGTATTCAATATTCAATGATATTTACATTTTTCTCACCAAGGAGAAGAAAGCACAGTGCCTCAATATCAGTTTCCCTCATCATTTCTTCTTATAGTTTTAAAAAGTTATAATTTCTCAGGAGTAGATCAAAGGACAAGAAAAAAAAAAGTAAGAGATTCCTCTGTTATTCACGTAAAAGCCCACCTAAGGGACTCTATAGGTAGGCACTCTATAGCTTGTATGCATTGCTACAATTTCATTGCAACCATAAACTGCTACAAATATCGAAAAATGGAATCATATTCCCACATCACTTGTTCTATGTGATATGTATGCCTGAAAAAATTATTTTGTAATTTTACTACACACAGCACAACTAAGAGTAGAAATGTTTGGTGATTACATGTCCATTTTCAGTCCAATAGAGGCTAAGCAATGAATAACTCTTCCATACTCCTAGTTGTACAGATAGACCTTCACTTACGACCACAATTGAGCCCAAAAGTTATGTTGCTAAGCAAAACATTTGTTAAGTGAGTTTTGCCACAATGCAGTGAATCACTGCAATTGTTAAATTAGTAACACAGTTGTTAAGTGAATCTGGATTCCCCATTGACTTTGCATGTTAGACAGTCGCAAAAGATGATCACATGACCCTGGGACACATGACATAAATATGAACCAGTTGCCAAGCATCCAAATTTGAATCATGTGACCGTGGGGTTGTTGCAACAGTCCTAAGTTGTGAAAAACAGTCCTAAGTCATTTTTTTCAGTGCTGTTGTAACTTTGAACAGTCACTAAATGAATGGTTGTAAGTGGAGAACTAGCTGTACTAATGACTTAGCAAAGAGATAATCTCCACAGTTTTCTTGTGCTGGACTGAACACACAAATGTAAAACTTGATCATGTCAGAAAACTGATATTTGTGATGACTCATTTTTCTAGACTTGTACTGGATGGATTGTTGATTTTGGGTAAATGTACATCCTTTCAAACTGTTATAGTTTACAACTATAAAGTACATAGGGACTGCAGAATCATATGAACGGTAATACCATATAATAGAAATTACGAATTTATTATTTAATAAGAGCATGAAATATCTAATTTATAGGGCAATCTATGGAAATGTATACACAGGGAAACATGCATAATTAAAGACAGAAAATGCAAGCTAAGGCCAAGATTCTGATTTAAAGAAAGAGAGTTGTATGACTTAAGGAACCATAAAGAAAAAATGAAAAGAAAGTGTGATATGTATTACAGCCTGATATAATCTTTATGTACAATTTTTATCCACAGAGTAAAATGAAGCAGTTAAAACTAGTTTTCACAGTGCACAAGAATAAAATAAATACAGATGTTCTAAGCATAAAATGGAAGTCTTATTGAATTTATTATGACTTGGTTGACTAGATTCTTTCATCACCATGCTAAATTAAGCAAGGCACAGTCAAAAAATTTATCTGCCTGTAGTTGCAGAATTTTAGTTAAGCAAGTTAGATCTATCTGTTGCTTCATGCAGTTCATAGACTTAAACACAAGGGGAAGAATATGGATTTAAAATCTGAATCATGCACTTATGCCAGTGTGAAAAGCGTTTCACAAGACTATAGTAATATATTTTTCCTCCCCCTCATTTCCCAGACAAGGAAGAATATACCTTTAAACTATTAGCACCACAGAATTAAGACATACTCATTTTTATAACTGTAGTATAGAAAATATTTATATGTTAATACTCTATATGAATATTCATTTTCTTTTCAATATTTACTTTCCACTTAGTAGACAAGTTTACTCACCTTGTCCTCCTGCAACCCATTTGATGCCAACCCACCATAAAGTAAACATAGTGAAATGGTGATAGACATGAAGAAAACTAATTTGATTAAATTTCTTTCTTAGGATGAAGAATATTGTGTCCAGATACTCAATCCCTTTTGATATGTAGTACCACCATAAAGCTCCTGCTATCTGTGAAATGAAAGAAGAATATAAAGACAAGATCAGACCAATGCACCACATAGCATAGGATGTGGGTCACTACGGAAGTTTTAATTACTTAATTTGATCTTCTGGGTTAAGAAGTTCCTGCACAATTTACACAGTATTTATCTCTTCTCCTTGATTGTTTGTCTCAGTTAGTAGGTATTTAAATGAAGAGTTAAACATTATTTTGTCATGTTAAGACAAGAGATGTGAAACCATTTTGTACTTTATTCTCCTAAAAAAGTCTTTTTAAAAAGATCTCCCACATTCTCCTGATTTTAGCCATTTGAAGTCTTCTTATGGAACAAGCAGTGTGACTTGGAAATTAAGATAAAATTAGATATGCACACAACTTCATCAGGCCTAGCCATCTTATACTACAAGTGCAGAAATATGATTAATATTCTTATTTTCATTTACACATTCACAAATATTCTCTCACTCTCTCAAAAGATAATCCTCTGTGTGTATGTGTGTGTGAGAGAGAGAGAAGGGGGAGAAGGGAGGGAGAGGGAGGGAGGGATAATGTGTGTATATAATTTGTTTTTATATTGCTATTTTTATTATTTGTAAGTCACCTGGCATTACTCTGGACAACAAGATGGGCAGCATATAAATTACATAGTAAATAAAAATAAATAAATAAACAATCAATCAATCAATCAATCAATCAATCAATCAATCAATAATGTTATTGAAAGTTTCAAAACAAGAAAAAAATACAAACAAAAATAGAGTAAAAACGAAAAAGGAAGACATAAAAGAGCCGAAGTTCAAAAAACAAAGAAAAAAGGTAGAAGAAAAATAGAAAAGAAAAAAGATATAAAGGAGTGGTTTCTGATCTTCTTTACAGCAGTTATAAGTATAATTGTAGATTTATCTCTTTCTCTAAAGTTACACTATAAATCTATTCTTTCTATAGTCTGTCCTATTTAAACATTAAAAGCATACATTTTTACATACATACATACAAGGTTACAGGCATACAGTAAACAGATACTGTCTTTTCTCTAATGAAATTAAAGATACTTCAGTGTTCTAATCATTGTGGCTATAACTTCTTAACTGTTATGAACCAAGATTAACCACTTAAACATTTACTACTTTTCAGTTTCTGCTCAGAATATAATAAATCAGTGCTCTTAATTTATAAATAAAGTGAGTAGGAGTGATGTTTATATGTAACACAGTATCACTATGTGAAACAATATTTTTTTTAAAAAAGAATTCTAACACACTACACACGTTTAAAACTTTCAGGATCTATAAATATTTCTGAAAAATATGGAGTAAAAGTAGAGAATATAAGGTGTTATTTAAGCAGTATCTCTAAAATGTGAGTCTTTCCACAGTGGACAATTGATGGCTCTCTTTTTCTTAAAAATATAAAGGTTACAGTTCACGTTGTCCCCATGGAACAACACCTTAACTGGTCTAGATCACTTGATGGTGTCCTTTCAACTCAAGTCATTTGTAACACATGACTAGAAGAAACAACCAGGCTTGGGAACCTACAGGGGACACAAGAAGGGACAAAATGGCAAAATGTGTGCAATAGCATCATTCAAATGTCAGAACTTGTACACCTGCATCAGACATTGGCATGCAAGTAAGTAATGGCAAAAATCTGTACAATGCTACTGCACCCATGTTGTCATTTTGCTATCATCAAGATTTACTATGGACACTGTTGCAATTACTCTCCCACCTCAGGTTGTGTTTGTAATACTATTCAAATATCATTTAATAGCACAACGAAGACACAGTTAATCCTAATCATGGGATTATGAAAAGTATACTGATAAATGGATGAATCTTTCCTAAGTATTCCATATCTCAGAAGACAATTCTATTTAATTCTGATTATTTTATTTCAGGAAAACATTATAAACAATTGGTTCCTGCTGCTCCCTGCTCTTTAGAAGCACACTGCATGATTTTGCCTTCAGTCAGTCATGCATTAATACCTTGCCTAGTCATAATACCCTATTACGGTTGAGCTGCTTTGAAAGGCAATTCATGACTTTACACAAATGGCTTCTTGGGCACTTGTCAGGACTACAGGCTTATGACCACAATTAGGACTGAAACTTCCATTGTTCAGGGAGATGATCATTAAGTCAGTCATGATGATTTGATCACATGACCATAGAGGTACTGCAATGGTCATAAGCACAAAGACTGGTTGCAAGACACTTTTTTCAGCACCACTATATCTTTGAACAGCTGGTAAACAAATGGTCATAAGTCAAGGAGTACCTACATGCATTTAGAACAGGTTGTGTTGTACTAGTATAATATTCAGAATAAGATATTCTCTTATTTTGTATTAATTGCAGTAGGATTAATGCATTTCTGGTATAATCTAAAGCAGAGCTGGGCATTTTATGGCCCCTGGGACATATCTGCCCTTTGACTATCCCCGTCTGGCTCACATGACGTCAATTGGAAATCAGAAATTAAATGTAAATAAGAGTACTGCAGGGGGCAGGAAAAGCATCCGAGTCAGGCCGTACTCTGGGCAATCGCTGTGAACCCCTTCAATCGGCTGGTGGCCACGGGAAGGGAAGGAGAGAGAGAGCACTTTTCTGCCCTTACGCAGGGCTCACCCCTCACGTAGAGCAGTTGAGGTGACAGAGTTTGAAGACATCAAATCAGTGTGTATATTGGTTCGGCCCTCCACAACAGTCCCAGTTTCTCATGTGGCCCCTTGGGAAAATAAATTGCCCAGCCCTGATCTAAAGGTTTACTACATTTGTATAAACAATTTTTTAAAATTAAGATTGGTATCAGAGACCCTATTTGTTGCTTTGCCTATCATTCACATGTCTTATAATTCCTTAACATTTTTCAGTTTTAAGTACTGTAGTTTTTAATTGAGATGATGCTGTTCAACATACTTCAGAGCTTAAAATTTATCATCTGCATAATTTTACCATTCTCTTGAATGAATGATTCTATAATGGTGAGCATTGGTTTCAAGTTGATTTTTTTAAAATAATAAATTTGTTTTATTGTTGTACTATTCAGATGTTCATATATCCTTGTTCTAGGTCGGTTTTATTATTGAACTGAAATAATATTTTTATATGTCTGTAAACTGGCTTGAACTAGGCAGCCTGGAAAGACAGCATGAAAAGCATGTGAATAAACAAATAACATTTTCCAGTTATTACACAGCAATCTAGAAAGTTGATGTTTTGCTGCTATTTGAAAAAGCAGAAGTAATTTCTCCCTGCTTTCTAAAACAGTATTTCATAGCTAGCAGTATTAATACACAAATGTTGCAGGATCCAATCTGGGACGGTCACCGGGACCAATCTTCCAAGCTTTCAGACTCATGCTGGAACCCACCTTCAGGGAACTTCTTCCTAACAGAGTGTATGCTTTGGGCTGTTCTGTGTGTGGTATTTATATGGCGCCTGTTGTTATACGGCTTTTTAGATGTTGATTGGGGTGTTGATGGCTGGCTATGATTGACCACCAGCTAAGGAGGTGAGGGCTTGGCAGCACAAGCAAACAACAGCCAATGACTTAATAGCCAGCCATCAACACCCCAATCAACATCTAAAAAGCCACATACAACAGACAAAACGTCTGGTCCGATGGAGATTGGATCCTGCAATATTAATACATCCCATTTTTTTTTTCAAATGTAAAGAGAGCCATCATTAAATGTTACTGTAAAGCATACGTGTTGGTTCAGATCAAAATCTTCCAGTTCAGCACTCTGTTCCCACAATTGCCAATTCAATGCCTAAGGGAAACAGCCAAGCACAACAGCAGACTCTTTCCATTTGTATTTTTTCATCAACTGGTATTAAAAGGTAGAGTGCATCTGAGACTGGAGGCAAGATACAGCCCACACAAAAAATAGGTATTTTAGGTGCATTTGCTCACTGCAATGAATTATGTGGTTGACTGGCTTCTTGCTGTTTTTTTTGTTAGAAGGGCATGATTTCCATCATTGGTTTGTCATTAAAAATACATCAGCAAACCACAGAACATTATTTTTGAAACTGTATATTAGCTCACTGCAAATCTCTTTGAGTTTTATACTGACAACTTGTTTGTTGGGATCAGGGAGAGAAGGCTAGCTTAGAGTCCCATCCCCAAAGGAGTTCGGTCTGCTGGCATCTGCAATAACCCCCCACATACTATGCAACAACTCCTGATGATTTTTTTAGCAGTTTAGCAGTTTAGTAGTTTGATGGGACATTTGGGGGACATCAACTTTAGGCCTGTTAAAAAAAATCACAAAATACAAGGTGACAATAGTGGTACTCTCAGATGAGGAGCATCACTATAGTCCCATTGTGGTTTGTTGTTTTAAAGTTCCTGTTTCTGTTTGTATGCTATGCAGAATTGTTGGCATGGTACCGCATGGCGGAAGGAAGGGAGGGAGGGAGGGAGGGAGGGAGGGAGGGAGGGAGGGAGGGAGGAAGGAAGGAAGGAAGGAAGGAAGGAAGGAAGGAAACTGCCATTTACCTTCCTCAGATGAATACATCAGGGAAATTTTTCTCTTTCTCTTCCTCTGTCTCTGCAAATTGTAGTTTGATCAGCCTCTCTTTCAAACATGACTATTAGTTTGCTAACTTTTTTCCCCATATCAAATTGGGCCCTGTATTTTCAAAGTTTATATTTATACTTTGGATGATTCCTGATATCACTGTAAGGAATGCAGTTTTTGATTTTGCTTAAATTATTCTTTCCAACCTAAAAAATGTTGGAAATAAATTATATAAGGAAGTTCAGGACTTTATCTGTATGTCTGTTCATCAGCAAGGTAACTCTCCAAGAAACACAACGAACTATGGTTTGGAGAGAGGAGTATGATAAACATTGAGTTAAACAACAACAAACCCAAGAAATTCATTGTGGAGAAAACCACAATTGCTCCCTTTTAAACCCCTCCCTCCTGGTCATGTGACCCAAAGCAAAGCATGCACAGTCTATTTATGCTGTCTAAGGCACACATATCCACA